TTTTTTTAACACAGGTATTCAACCAAGTTTTTTTTTTTTTCCTTATTCTGGCAACCAGGGTACTCGGTTGCCTCTGTCGCAGTAGACAGACTCAACAATTCCCTTCCCGTCTGAGATGAAGAGCCGAAAGACTACAAGACAAGATTCTAGCCTGAGCTAGGGAAGGAATACAGCTGAGAAGCCTTTTTCTTAGCGCTAATAAGCCATAATAGGCTATCATTTGAGCCTCATATACGAACTTCAGAGATCTACAAGAGCCGAAAGACTACAAGACAAGAGCCAGAAGGCTACAAGAGTTCCAAGACTGCAAACGTTGGTTACCTTTTCCTTTTTTTTAAAAGGGCGACGGCCTTGAGATATTATCATTGAGCTGATCGGCCCCAAGCAATTCATTAGTAGTTGGTTTTACTCGTCAAGTTCCATCACCATGTGGATTAGAACTCCGGTCTGTATTTCAACAGTTCATGGGGGTGTGGTCCCCACTGAGCTAGGCTCTTGGGTGCGTTGGCTACTTTTTCGCATTTCCTTCTTATTAGAGGAATTCTGCTCATTAGACTATAGCAGTTGTTATTTTTCTCTACATTTCCGTGATGACTAAGTTCAATGTCTGTTCATTAGACTATAGCAGTTGTTATTTTTCTCTACATTTCGGTAATGACTAAGTCTTTCGGTGATGACTAAGTTCGATGACTAAGTTCGATGTTGGATCCGGGTTGAATTGTGAGGTCCCCGGCCTCCGATTTTTCAGATATTAATGATAAGCTACCACATTAAAAGAAGGAAAGAAAAGAAAAAAAAGGACAAGAACAGAGGCCGGGGGCCAAGTCCCACTAGCCGCGTTGAGCTACCTCAACGCCTGAATCTGGACCCTTTTGCTGGTATGTGCAGAAATGGTGTTGAGTTTTCTGAACTGCACTTCTCCACAAACACGTCCAGATTCAGGCGTTGAGGTAGCTCAACCCTATGTAAATCTTCATATGGGACGCTGGGCCCGGTTCCCAGCACGTGCCACGAATAGACTGGAGCCTTTTTCTTCAAAAAAAAAAAAAAAAAAAAAAAAAAAAAAAAAAGCAAAGCGGTAGCTCAACTCTGCTAGTGGGACTTGGCCCCCGGGACCTCACAATTCAACCCCCGGATTGCTGAAAAACAGGTCCAGCATCCTATCTTGGGTATCAGACTGGAAAGCCTGAATCTGGATGTGTTTTACGCAGAGATGCAGAAAAGCGATCCTCTTGGCTTGTGGGACCGCGCCCCAGAAGAAGTGATAAAAAAAACGGCTGGAAACCAGGTCCAGGGTCCTTCCCCTCCAAAAAATAGTACTTCCAGTAATTCTAGGCTCCAGTGATTTCGAATGCCATGTCCTGATGTTCGTAGGGGGGTGGGGGGGACCACCACCTGAGGGGAGGCCTGTTGGCATGGTCCCTGATGCTACCGGCTGTCCCCTAGCGGGGGCAAGGTCCCACTTGCACGAATTAGGAGATCTCGGCCGTTGATCTTTGTTATCTACGGTCAGTATCTCTTAATTCGTGCGACTGGGACCTAGCCCCCGGCATTGCCCACCTGGAGGTCAGTAGCAGTCCACGGATGCTCTTTGGTGAACAGGGTTCTGGCTGTGCTGCGCGGTTCCCCTTATCCCTACAATTAGGAGTAGTGGTGGGTCGGTAGTGTGAGGTGAAAATAAGAGAGGAAAAAAGAAAAAAAGAAAAAGAGCGGCCATGTGCTGGAGGGACGCCGGACGCGGTACTGGCCAGGGGCCAAGTCCCATTAGCAGCGTTGAGCTACCTCAACGCCTGAATGTGGACGTTTTTGCGAAGTTGTGCAGAAACGGTGTTGAGTTTCCTGAACTGCACGTCTCCACAAACACGTCCAGATTCAGGCGTTGAGGTGGCTCAACGCTGCTAGTGGGACTTGGCCCCAGGGAGGGCGCGTGGTTTGCGCGGTAGCCGGGAACTCGAGGTCGAACTCGAAGCCGAACGTCGGAGTTTAGCGCAGGGAGGGCGCAAGTTGAGGGGAGTGAGTGGAAAGAGCAGGGGGGGGAGGCAAAGGAAATGGGGACTTGTGCGCGGAGGAGGACCGAGTTGTCTTTCCAGCCGTATATCTCTTTGACAACGACGCTCAACCCCATCGCCAGGCACAGAGCTCATGGGACAACTCAGAGGTGAGTCTCTCATTTCATGCCTCCTCACTCCGCCGTCCCTCTCTCCCTCTCTCCCTCTCTCCCTCTCTCCCTCTTCCTCCGCC